GCACTTTGGAAAGCTGAGGCAAGAAGATCACTTTAGGCAGGAATTTGAGACCAGCCTGGGCAACATAACAAGACCCTATCTCTACAAAAATTTTAAAAATACTGGCTGGGCGAAGTGGCTCACGCCTGTAATCCTAGCACTTTAGGAGGCCACGGTGGGTGGATCACCTGAGGTTGGGAGTTGGAGACAAGCCTGGCCAACATGGCAAAATACTATCTCTACTGAAAATACAAAAATTAGCCAGACATGGTGGTAGCTGTAATCCCAGCTACTCAGGAGGCTGAGGCAGGAGAATCGATTGGACCCAGGAGGCAGAGGTTGCAGTGAGCCAAGATTGAGCCACTGCACTGCAGCCTGGGCAACAGAGCAAGACCTTGTCTCTAAATAATAACAATAATAATAATTTGTGGGAATTAGGAAGTTTCCTGTTTAAGTGGAGGAACTGAGGCTCCAGGCCCCATGGTATCTGGCCCCTGCACTGCACTTTGGACTCTGTGAGCTTAATGGCTGTTTTACACTGTATCTGCAAAGGAAGGCAAAAAGACAGAGCCACGAAATCTATGGACCTGAATCAAAGGTCTGGCTGGCCCCTGTTCCCATCAACCTCTCTGGGGGCCACCTGAGGCCGGCTTCCCCAAGACAGAGCACACAGCCAGCAAGGAGTGACCCACAGGGCCTCTGAGCAGAACGGAATGTCAATACCTAATCCCTTCGAACCGGGTGAGGGACAGACATCCCTTATCACCCAAGCATCGTCGTTTGGCTCGATGGGCTCATGGCCAGCAGGGCCTCTGGGCCACGAGCCGGACCCTCCCCGTCCTTGGAACCGGAGCCAGCCCTCCGTGGCCCCGCAGTCCACTTGGCCCCACACCGCCTTGTGTTTGTCTGACTTCCCTGACCCCCGCGAGTGCTCATCGCCTTTTTCCTCCTTCCTCAAAAACCAGGACACAATAGGAAGCGTTTCCTTGAACTTATTAAAAAATCCAGACTTGTAAATTAATTTGTTCGTGTTGTACAAAGGCAGTGCAGATGGACTCATTAGCATGCACACAACAAATAATTATAGATGAATTTTTAGCTGGCCTGCCTAATGCGCTTGCTGGGTTAATTATGTCAATGTATAATCACATCAGCCCGGGGAGACATAATGGCATACCCTGCTGCGCAGGCCTTGCCTAATGACGGGGCGTGGGGGCTGCCGGCAGACGAAAGCCACTGCTGCCTTCCCACGTACCTGCTTACCTGCTTGCCCATTGTCCGAGCCCTTGCCACCTAAATGAACAGACTGCAGCAGAGTAAAACGGGGAAGCTGCCTTGTTCCAGCCAGACCTGAAGGCCCCATGCACAGGAACTGCCCCGTTTCTTCCATCAGCAGATATTTATTGGGTTGGACTGTGGGTCACACTTCATGGTAGGTACAAGAATTCCAGCAGAGTAGGGGTGGAGAGGGGTCAAAAACAGATGCAGTCTGGCTTCCCTTGTGGAGTTTGCAGTCCAGTGGGTGTTATTTAGAACTGCAGTGGGTACCATGAAGGAAAGGTGCAGGCAGCTCCTATCAGGGGACAAGTTAGTCGAGGAGGGTTTCCTGGAAGAAGTGGCATTTGAGTTGCTATATGGAAGGCAAGTAAGTGTTAACTAGCTGAAAGGAATAGTTCAGGGGAGGGTGTTCCTGGCAGAGGCTCCTGTGCAAAGGATCTCAGGTCCAAGAAGCAAGTATAGATTAGCAGATTTCAGGGACCTTGAGGTCCACGCTCTTAATCCCTCTACTCCCCAGCAGAGAGCAAGGGCCAAGCAGATGCTAGCAGAAAAATCTGGGAGAGGGGTCAGGCACAGTAACTCACGCCTATAATCCCAGAGCTTTGGAAGGCCGATGCAGGCAGGTCACCTGAGGTCAGGAATTCAAGACCAGCCTGGCCAACATGGTGAAACCCCAGCTCTACTAAAAATACAAAAATTTGAGGGCCAGGGGCAGTGGCTCACGCCTGTAATCCCAGCACTTTGGGAGGCCGAGGTGGATGGATCACGAGGTCAGGAGTTCAAGACCAGCCTGGTTAAGATAGTGAAACCCCGTCTCTACTAAAAATATAAAAATTAGCTGGGCATGATAGTGTGTGTCTATAATCTCAGCTACTCAGGAGGCTGAGGCAGGGAACTGCTTGAATCCGGGAGGTGGAGGTTGCAGTGAGCCGAAATCATGCCACTGTGCTCCAGCCTGGGTGACAGAGCAAGATTCTGTCTCAAAAAAATTTGGCCAGGTGCAGTGGCTCACACCTGTAATCCCAGCATTTTTGGAAGCTGAGGTGGGTGGATCACCTGAGGTCCAGAGTTCAAGATCATCCTGGCCAACATGGTAAAGCCCCATCTCTACCAAAAATACAAAAATTGGCTGGGTGTAATGGCGCATACCTGTAATCCCAGCTACTCAGGAGGCTGAGGCAGGAAAATCACTGAACCCGGCAGGCAGAGGTTTCAGTGAGCCAAGATCACGCCACTGCACTTCAGCCTAGGCGACAGAGCAAGACTCCATCTCCAAAAAAATAATAATAATTCAAAAATTAGCCAGGCGTGATGGCACACACCTGTAATTCCAGCTATTTGGGAGGCTGAGGCAGGAGAATCACATGAACACGGGAGGCAGAGATCACAATGAGCTGAGATCACGCCACTGCACTCCAGCCTGGTGACAGAGCCAGACTCTGTCTCAAAAAAAAAGAAAAGTAAAGAAAATTCTGGGGAAGGGACCAGGAAGAGACAGGGCTTCCATGCATTAGAAAGCATTGAACCGGGCCCCAGGCCTCTTGGTCCATATCTAGGACCCGGCTTTCCTGGGTGCCATGGACACCATCTGCACCTGCTGGGGCTGTCAAGAGCAGACGCTACGACAGAAGGCCTTGGTGTATCAGAGCAAGAGACCCAGATTCAAGTGTCACGTCTCCCCTTCAGCGAGTCACCTGGCTTCTCTGAGCCTCAGTTTCCTCATGTGTGAAAATGCGCTGGACCCAAGCCGGCCCCCAGGGGATGCCGTGAGGATGCTGGAAACCCAGTCCCCAGCGTGGGCTTTGTAGCCTGGAAGGTGGCACACCCCCCTCTGGGACGATCCAGGTTCTTTAGGCCTTGCCCTAGACAAGAACTTGGGGAAAAAGTTGAGGAGGACTCCAGAGTGGAAGGAAGCGGAAGTGATTACGGTGTGAAGGGCTGGGAGAGAACCAAATTCCAGGCAGAAGGACCTGCACGTTCCTCCCCTTTGAGTGACTGGGGAATTGGTGGACATCTTACATCTAGGTGTGTGTTTTGCCCCTGAAAAAGCCGTTCACCAACAATGTGTGTCTCAAATGATCGTGGTCACCAGGTCCACCAAGAAGCACATCCAGGATTACATGTGAGAGGATGTTGGAGCAGAATAGGAATACAGGGGGCGGTGAGGCTGGGAGAGCGTGTGGAGAGGCGGGGCAGCTGCCTGGGAGCATATCTAGACCCCACACGGCCTGCGGAAGCACTGGACGAGGTCATGGGCGAGTCCTCACTCCAAGGTCAGCCATCAGAGCAGCCTTGCCTCGGTATCCCCACTGCACACAGGCATGCTTGGCGGGGGCCATGGAAAGGTTGTCCTCAGAGCAGTGGATCTCAGAGCAGCGGCCAGATCCTTGCTCAGTGCCCCTCACTGTAGTTGGAGGTCCTCGAGGCACAGCCTCAGAGTGCCACAGATGGCATCATAGAGTCAAGAAAATGCAATGAAGCCAGGGCAACATGGTGAGACCTGTCTCTACAAAATACCACCAAAATTAGCTAGACATGGTGGTGCACACCCTTGATCCCAGCTACTCGGAGGCTGAGGCAGGATGGCTTGAACAGAATCTCACTCTGCTGCTGAGACTGGGGTGCAGTGATGCAATCTCCATTCTCTGCAGCCTCGACTGCCCATACTCAAGTGATCCTCCCACCTCAGCCTCCTGAGTAACTGGGACCACAGGCATGTGCCACCATGCCCAGCTTATTTATTTATTTGTTTATTGTATTTATTTATTTATTGAGATGGAGTCTTGCTCTGTCACCCAGACTGCCGTGCAGTGGCACCATTTCAGCTCACTGCAACCTCTGCCTCCTGGGTTCAAGTTATTCTCCTGCCTCAGCCTCCCAAATAGCTGGGATTACAGGCATGTGAGCCATCATGCCTGGCTAATTTTTGTATTTTTAGTAGAGACAGGGTTTCACCACATTAGTCTGGCTGGTCTTGAACTCCTGATCTCAAGTGATCCACCCACCTTGGCCTCCCAAAGTGCTGGGATTACAGGCGTGAGCCACTGCACCCAGATTCTTGTTTTAATTTTTCTGTAGAGATGAGATCTTGCCATGCTGCCCATGCTGGTTTTGAACTCCTGGGCTCAAGTGATCCTCCCACTTTGGCTTCCCAAAGTCCTGGCATCAGCCACTGCACCCAGCCAACCTTTTTTTTTTTTTTTTTTTTTTTTGAGACAGTCTTGCTCTGTTGCCCAGGCTGGGGTACAATGGTACGATCTCAGTTTACCTCAATCTCCGCCTCCCAGGTTAAAGCAATTCTCCTGCCTCAGCCTCCCGAGTAGTTGGGATTACAGGTATGTGCCACCATGCCTGGCTAATCTTTTTGTATTTTTAGTAGAGATGGGGTTTCACCATGTTGGTCAGGCTGGTCTTGAACTCCTGACCTGAAATGATCCGCCCTCCTTAGCCTCCCAAAGTGCTGGGATTACCGGCGTGAACCACCATACCTGGCCCAGCCAACTATTATTATTGTTAGTATTATTCCCAGCTGGGCAGGACACCCACACCCTGGTGATAGCAGGTGCTCCCCTGAGCAAGTGCCTGGACAAGGCTGCTCCCTCGTAGAGCAGAAAGTCCACACTACTTCCTGTAAGCCAGCAGGGTGACTCCAGTGGCTCCTGTGGGACCTGGCAGGCCCTGCAGCCACAGCCTGGGTGTCCCCATCAGGCCCTTACCATCCCTGTCTTTCTCTCCCTGCACAGACCCCGTGCCTGTGTTTGAGGCGGCGCGCAGCCTAGACGACAGACTGCAGCCACCCAGCTTTGAGCCCAGCGGGCAGCACCGGCAAGACCTCCACACTTCGTGGAAGAGAAACCCCGAGCTCCTGAGCCCCAAAGGTACTGATAAGGCCTTCTCAGAGCTTCTGTAATAGACATCCGGGCTGCAGATCTTCAGAGCTGAACACGGCCACCCTTGTTGGGAGGTGGCTGGGGCAGGGAACTGCAGGTGAAGGACTTCGGTAACCATTTAATTCCTGGCACTGGCAATGCAGTTGAGAGTAAAAGAGAAAAATCCTGCCCCTGTGGTGATGATCTTCTAGAAGAGGAGATTGTTGTGAACAAGCGAGTAAGACACAAAGTGTGGCGGGTAGAGAGAAAAGTCAAGAGAGCTGTTCAGGTTCCCACCCTCCATGGCCAGCCCCAAAGCATCCTCTGCCCCATGATGAATTCAGCACCAAAAGCATCCACCAGTCCCTGGGATGAGTCCCCACAGGGCCTGCCAAGGTAGGTGTGATGCAGGTGAGGCCAGTGATGGCCGAGCATCCACAGGCGTGCCCTCTGCAGTTGGGGGGTGAAAATAACCTGGCAGTTCTTCAGTAACGGAAACACAGTCTCACCACATGACCCAGCAGGACCACTGCTAGGTGTGGACCCCAGAGAATGAAAACAAGAGCTCAAAACAGGGTACACAAATGTACATGGCAGCATTACTCACAACAGCAAAAGCAGAAACAACTCCAGGGGCCCGCAACAGCTGAATAGATAAACCAAATATCCATAGAATGGAATATTACTCAGCCATGGAAAGGAAGGACACTGATCCATGCTACAGCATGGATGAACTTTGAAAACATGATGCAGGCCGAGTGCGGTGGCTCATGTGTGGAATCCCAGCACTTTGGGAGGCCGAGGCAGGTGGATCACAGGGTCAGGATTTTGAGACCAGCCTAGCCAACATGGTGAAATCCCATCTCTACTAAAAGTAAAAAAATTCGCCAGGCTTGGTGGCATGTACCTGTAATCCCAGCTTTTTGGGAGACTGAGGCAGAAGAATTGCTTGAACCTGAGAGCAGAGATTGCAGTGAGCCAAGATCATGCCATTGCACTCCAGCTTGGGTGACAGAGCAAGACTCTGTCCAGGGAAAAAAGAAGAAAGAAAGAAAGAAACATGGTGCTGAGCGGAAGGCGCCAGACACGAAAGGCCATAGGATGTACGATTCTTTTGTGTAATGTCAGAGCAGACAAATCTGTAGACACAGAAAGGAGAGTGGTAGTTGCCAAGGGCTGGAGGAGAGGGTGTGGCTGGTATGGGGAGCTGTTTAACTGGGACACCGGCTTTCCTTTCGGTGCAGTGACCGTCTTCTGGAATTAGTGGTGATGGCGTCACAGAATTGTGACTATACTAAATGTCACTACAAAATGGTAGTCAAAATAGTGAATTTTTGCCAGGCACAGTGGCTCACAGCTGTGATCCCAGCACTTTGGGAGGCTGAGGCAGGCAGATCACTTGAGGTCAGGAGTTCAAGACCAGTTTGGACAACATGGTGAAACGCTGTCTCTGCTAAACATGCAAAATTTAGCCAGGCATGGTGGCGAGTACCTGTAATCCCAGCTACTCGGGATGCTGAGGCAGGAAAATCACTTGAATCCAGGAGGCGAAGGTTGGAGTGAGCTGAGATCGTGCCACTGCAGTAGCAACTCCAGCCTGGGTGACAGCAAGACTGTCTCAAAAAAAAAAAAAGTAAATTTTATGTGATGTATATTTTACCACAATTTTAAATATATAATGAAGCAGGCCGCAGAGGCATGAGGAGGCAGAAGCAGCTCTGCGTGTGGTGACGCTGGCACTGGCGCCATGGCGGAAATGACCTGCATGCCGAGGACATGGGGCCCGCAGGGCTCCACAGCTGCGCTCTCTCCAAGGCCCAAGTTGGGAAATTTTTTTTTTTTTTCATTTTTTAACCAATCCGTTTTTTTAATTCTTAAATTCTTGACATTACAGAACTAAACTGAAATTTATTAACACTCCACTCTTACATTTCTTATCGACAAACAAGAAATAAAATTCATGAGCCAAAAAACCCAAAACAAAACTAAAAACAGGGAAAAGCTTATAAAACTAAATGTGGATCCCAGCATCCACAGCTGAACAGAGAATGTGATTTTTAAATTCTTAGCAGATAAAGTTGTGTAGAAACTGAACACTTACAAATTATTTAAAACCTGAAATCACTGACCAGAAATTACACAGTTGGATCATGGGAAAACAGCAGAAAGGGGTTATCGAGGTAACCTACACTGTTCTAGCTGCACCCCATGCCCTTCTCAGAGGAAAGCCTGGCATTGATTAGATGCTGGGCCAGACTAATAGTGGCAGCAGAGCCAGTGATAGTAGCCTGCCTACCAGAGGAGCCTTCCACTGGGTTGGCAATTTTGATCTGGGCCCCGGACATCTGGCGAATCTCATTAATGTTGGCACCTTGGCGCCCGATTATGCAGCCAATTAAGTTATTTGGAATGGTGAGTTCATGGGTGGTTTGAGTAGATGCATCCAAACTTGCCCAATAGCCTTTCACCTCTGGAGGGCTGGAAACTGATCGCAATCGATGATCGACCTGGTTTGCAGAAAGCTGCTCTGGCGTCATGTTCTCTTGACAATGGGGGTTTTCCCTCTTTTTCTCCCTGCAGAGCAGCGAGAGGGGACGTCGCCTACCGTGCCCACGCTGACCGAGGGAAGCCACCTCCCAGGCATTCCCGGGAAAGCCCTCCTGACAGAAACCTTGCTGCAGAGAAATGAGGCGGAGAAACAAAAGTGAGGAAGGAAGGGTGGGTGGAGGGAGGAGCAGGCAGGGCTGCTGCTGCCCCTCCTGGCTGGGTTGTGGGCAGCAAAAGTCTCCTACCAGAATCGACGTGCAGATTGGAGATGGAGATGAGGAAGGGCTGAGGGCTTTGGACTCCAGCCAGGTCTGGGTTCAAGTCCCACCACAGGAGCTCAGTGACCAGCCCCAGCTGGTGACCATCCTCTGAGCCTCAGTTTCCCACCTGGTAAATGGGGCTAAGGGTACTGCATTCCTCATTCTCTAGAGAAGCAGAACTGGTAGGATTTTTTAAATGATTAAGACATGTATTCCTAGGACTTAGCTTATGCAGTTTTGGGAGCTGGCAGGTACAAAAATTGGTAGAGCAGGAGTTGGTACTGTGATCTTTCTCTTTTTATTTTACAATAATTACAATGTTTTAGAGAAAAGATCTTCCCTGTCACCCAGGCTGTAGTGCAACAGCATAATTATAGCCCGCTGCAGCCTGGAATCCTGGCACTTTGGGAGGCCAAGGCAGGAGGATCGCTTGAGGCCAAGAGTTTAAGACTAGCCTGGGTGACAGAGCTGGAGTGCAGTGGCAATCTCAGCTCACTACAACCTCCACCTCCCGGGTTCAAGAAATTCTGCTGCCTCAGCCTCCTGAGTAGCTGGGATTATAGGTATGCACTACCACACCTGGCTAATTTTGGTATTTTTAGCAGAGACAGGATTTCACCATGTTGGCCAGGCTGGTCTCAAAATCCTGACCTCAAGTGATCCTCCTTCCTCGGCCTCCCAAAGTGCTGAGATTACAGATGTGAGTCCCTTTGTCCAGCCCCATATATATATACACAGACACACAAATACATATACAAACACACACACACACACACACACATATATATATATATATATTTTTTTTTTTTTTTTTAAATTAGCTAAGCGTGGTGGTATACACTTATAGTCCCAGCTACATGGGAGGCTGAGGTAGAGCAGAGGATTACTTGAGCCCCAGGTGGTCGAGGCTATAGTGAGCTATGATTGTGCCACTGTACTGCAGCCTGGGCAACAGAGCAAGACCCTGTCTTTAAAATAAAAGAAAACAGAGGAAATATTACCCCCCCAGGCAGTATCAATAACTCACAGTACTGAGGAACTGTTGAGGGCTGGGCGCCCCACTGAGCGTGCTTCACAGCACCCCCTGAAGCAGAACCTATCAGAAACCCCATTTTATAGATAAAGAAACTGAGGCCCAGAGAGGTTGCTTGCTACTGTACATTTTTGCCCCTAAAACTCCTGGCAGAAACTAACAGGGGCAGCCATGCCAGGGCCTGCACAGGCAGTGGAGCAGCAGGACAGCCGGTGCCTGAATGTCACATCTAAGGACTTGCAGAAAGACAGAGGTGCAGCTTACAGGGAATGGGCAAGGGCTGGAAAGCAGGATGGGGCTGGACTCGGGGGCCCCGGGCAAGGCCTGTCCCTGAAGCCAGCACGAGCAGACCTCGTCTTTCCACAGGGGCCTTCAAGAAGTACAGATCACTTTGGCGGCCAGACTGGGGGAGGCAGAGGAGAAAATCAAAGTCCTACATTCAGGTATGTGTCGGCACCAGGCGGCCCGGACGGAGGACCGGAAGGAAGCGATACTGCTATCAACAAGGGGACATGGCTTGGGGTCTGCCACATCCAGGTGTTTTAGAATCAAGAGAGCAAAACCGGAGTTTGGGAAGAAAAATCTTACCCAGTGGGGGTCAGAGCCTCTATGCCCAAGAAGCCACATTGCTGTGGAGGATTTGAGACAGAGTCATTTCAGTGGTGGCCAGGCATGGTGGCTCACATTTGTAATCCCAACACTTTGGGAGGTTGAGGCAGGAGGATTGCTTGAGCCCCAGAGTTCAAGACCAGCCTGGGCAACATGGCAAGACTCTGTCTCTAATTAATTAATTAATTTAATACAACCCCTGCAGGGGCCAAAACACTACCAAGCCACCGACTTAGGGGAGGCATTGAGGAGGAGTAAGGTCTGGGGCAAGCTGGAGAAATGAAGCCTCATCTAAAGAGACAGCCACTGTTTAGCACCAGCCAGGTGCCACCCATATGGTCCCCTGCAGGGAACCCCTTCTCCATTTTCCCAGAGAAATTAGAAATCTGGAATTGTATCAAAAGTGCTCATTCATTGTAACACATGAATCCATTCATCGTGTGGGTCTTCCCTGTCCTCCTGCCTGCCAGGTTTGAGCCTCGGGGTGGTTGAGTACATGTATGGACAGCCTTGCCTGGGTCCTGCAGTGACGGTGTTGGGGGCTTATACCCCAGGTCATGGCAGACAGCACCATGTCCCTGCCCCCCACCCTGGCCTGGGTCCCGTGAGCTACCTAGACCCATGGAGAGGACCTCATCCACCCTGCACTGCCCACCCCAGCCACTGCACATCTCTCCCACCAGCCTGGAGCCCCTCTAGGGGCAGGAAACTCAGTCCCTGTCACCAGTGCTGACTGAGAGAAGGGTCTCCCTCACTACCCCAGCTCCATCTTCCTGGGAGACCCAGCCCCTTCCTACTCGGTGGCGGGGCCTCACCCTGCCTCTGCTTTCTCCCAGCGCTAAAGGCCACGCAGGCAGAGCTTCTAGAGCTGCGGCGGAAATACGACGAGGAGGCGGCATCCAAGTAAGTGAGCTCTGCTGAGGTGTGCCTCCTCCCTCAGACCCTCCCGGACAGGCCTCCTCCCTCAAACCCTCCCAGACAGGCCTCCTCCTTCTGGCCTTCCAGTACTTCCCTCCTCTGTCTGACCCTCTAGTACTTGCCTCCTCCCTCTGACCCTCCCAGACACACCTCTACCCTCTGACCCTCCCAGACTCCCTCCTCCCTCTAACCCTCCCAGACATTCCTCCTCCTCCTGACCCTCCCAGACAGGCCTTCTCCCTCTGACCCTCCCAGACACGTCTCCACCCTCTGGCCCTCCCAGACAGGCCTTCTCCCTCTGACCCTCCCAGACACGTCTCCACCCTCTGGCCCTCCCAGACAGGCCTTCTCCCTCTGACCCTCCCAGACACGTCTCCACCCTCTGTCCCTCCCAGACAGGCCTTCTCCCTCTGACCCTCCCAGACACGTCTCCACCCTCTGGCCCTCCCAGACAGGCCTTCTCCCTCTGACCCTCCCAGACACGTCTCCACCCTCTGGCCCTCCCAGACAGGCCTTCTCCCTCTGACCCTCCCAGACACACTTCCACCTTCTGACCCTCCCAAACAGGTCTTCTCCCTCTGACCCTCCCAGACATGCCTCCTCCCTCTGACCCTCCAGTATTTGCCCCCTCCCTCTAACGCTTCCAGACACACCTCCACCCTCTGGCCCTTCCAGACACACCTCTACCCTCTGGCCCTCCCAGCCATGCCTTCTCCCTCTGACCCTCCCATACACACCTTCTCCCTCTAACCCTCCAGTATTTGCCCCTTCCCTCTAACACTCCCAGACACACCTCCACCCTCTGACCCTCCCAGACTGCCTCCTCCCTCTAACCCTCCCAGATATGCCTCCTCCCTCTGACCCTCCAGTACTTGTCTCCTGATCCTTCAGGATTTACATCCTCCCTCTGTCCCTCCAGACATGCCTCTTGCCTCTGACCTCTCAAATGTGCCTCCTCTTTCTGACTCTTCTCCTTCCTCTGACTCTCTGCTGGAGGCCCCCCATTTCATTAAGCACCTCTGCTCCTCACCCCCAAAGTCACGTAGCTGTCATTTGCTTTGCCACTCACACACTATAGCCATAAATAATGTCCTGGGACCCAGGCTGAGCAAGGGGCTGCTGGGTGGGGTCCTCGCCCTTCGCCCTGGCCTCCTGGGGCTGTCCTGCTCCCCAGCTCCACACTCCAGTCCTTAGGGGCTGAGAGGCATTCACCTAAATTACTCTGGATTCAAGCATTTCTCTAGGCTTTAAGAAATCATTCATTCTGCAAACACTTATTGAGCACCTACTGTTTATCCAGTGCTGTTCTGGGTCCCTGGAGGAAACATGAGAACATGATCCTGTCCTCAACTGAGGAGAGGAGACAAAAACTGATGTGCAGTGATACATTTGTTCATTCACACATATTGAGCACTTACTGTATGCCCAGCACTGTTCTTGGTACTTAACAAATGCCACAAAGGGAAAAAGTGGGGGCAGGAAGGGGTGGGTCCTTTGTCCTGGTTAATCCAGAACTCCCTGGAGGAGGAGGAGGAGAAGGCCATGAGAAGAGTTCAGGGAAGGGTGCTCCAGGCAGCAGGAACAGCCTGAGCCATGGAAGGCTCTGAGCATGCACGCAGCCCATGTGTCGCCTTGAGTCACCAAGTGCTCTGCACATTCCCCTGCGTCTCCCACCCCCTGCTAACAGAGGGGAGGCCCATCCCAAGCCCCTCCATGCTGGCAGCCTGGAGGGGCTGGGCAGTGCAGTAAACAAGTGACCACCGGGGACAGTGCAGGGCGGTCTCCCAGAAGAAACTGATCTGGGGGTGGGGGGACAGGTGTTCTCTTGGGGAAGGGCATTCTAGGCGCCACTGGGACAAAGGCTTGGAGATGGAGTTCAGAGAGCTGCCCCCAGGGGAGAGGGAGGCCAGGCTGCCCGGAGGAGGTGCAGTGCTGACGCCCTCTCCCTTTTCCCCCGAAGCCTAGGCTCTTTTCTCCCCAGCCTGATTTCTTTCCAGTAGCGAGGCTGGAAGGGAGGGCCATCAGCCCTCCCCTGGGTGCAGGCAGGGGCTGCAGGTGTCAGGAGGGGCGGGGCCTGGAGCCCATGGGAGGCCCTTCCTCAGGGCCTCGTCTTTGTGTCTCAGGGCAGATGAAGTCGGCCTGATCATGACCAACCTGGAGAAAGCTAATCAGGTGAGGAGGTACAGTTCCCACCATGGGTGCCAGAGGCTCCCTCTGCCTGGGGTGGGGGTCTCGGGCCGGACGAGGAGGAAGGGGCTGAGCTTCATTAATATTTATTCAACTGTGGGTCCTGCGCCTGCCTAGTGAGGGGGCCAGGAGTCTGAGCTGCCGGGGTGGGGCCGGGGTGGAGGTTAGGGTACCAAATACAGACACAGTTGGAAATAGAGTGGTCCCAGCAGCAACAGGCAGAAAGGAGCCCTGACCCAGAATGCAGGAGTCCAGGAAGACATCCTAGAGGAAGGGGTGTGAAGCTAAGACCTAAAGAATAAATGGCAGGGTCTAGGCACAGATTCTAAGTGGGGTTCCAGCATCCTGCCTTCCTCTGGCTTCAGAGGTGCTGCCATCTGGTGGGCAGAGTCGGGCAGGACTTTGAAAGGAGGGCAGCCACAGCCAGGGGGCTCCAGCCCGGGGTCTTGTGTGCCCACCACGTCTGTCCCCCAGTGCACTGATACGATCACAGCTCACAGCAGCCCCAAATTCTGGGGTTCAAACAATCCTCTTACCTCAGCCCCCCAAGTAGCTGGGACTACCGGCATGCACCACCACACCCGGCTAATCTTTATATGTTTTTCAGAGCTGCGGTTTTGTCATGTTGTCCAGGCTGATCTCTAACTCCTGAGCTCAAGCAGTCCACCCTCCTGGGCCTCCCAAAGCACTGGGATTGCAGGAGCGAGCCACTGTGCCCAGCCACCCCTTTTAAAAACAGAATGACAATGCGCCATGTATACCATCATGAGCCTTATGTTTTACACGTCTGTATCTTTGAGTCCCTTCCACATCAGTATAGAAAGCAATTCTTTCTGTTTTACGGCTGTGTGGTGTTCCTCGGCTGGGGGCACCATCGTCTCACACAGGAGGGCAAACTTTCTGTAAAGTCAGAGTAAATATTTTCAGCTTTGCAATTCATAGTCTCTGACACAGATTTTCAACTTTGCCATTTTAGCAACAGACTGTGTAAGTGACTTAGCATGTCTGGGTTCCAATAAAACTTTATACAAATGGGCAGGGCTGCGCACAATGGCTCATGCCGCTAATCCCAGCCCTTTGGGAGGCTGAGGTGGGACGATCACTTGAGTTCAGGAATTTGAGACCAGCTGGGCATCATAGACCTCATCTCTACAAAAAAATTTTAAAAATTGATCGGCTGCGGTGGCTCACGCCTGTAATCCCAGCACTTTGGGAGGCCAAGCCTGGCAGATCACAAGATGAGGAGAGGGAGACCATCCTGGCTAACACAGTGAAACCCTGTCTCTACTAAAAATACAACAAATTAGCCAGGCATGGTGGTGCGTACCTGTAGTCCCAGATACTCGGGTGGCTGAGGCAGGAGAATCACTTCAACGCAGGAGAATCACTTCAACCCAGGAGGCAGAGGTTGCAGTGAGCTGAGATCGTGCCACTGCACTCCAGCCTGGACGACAGAGCAAGACTCTATCTCAAAAAAAAAAAAAAAATGTAGGCGTAGTGGTGCACGCCTGTGGTCTCAGCAGGAGGCTGAGGTGGGAGAATCGCCTGAGGCCAGGGAGATGGAGGCTGCAATGAGCTACGATCATGCTACTGCATTCCAGCCTGGATGACAGAGTGAGACCCTGTCTCAAAAAAAAGTGATCATAGAGTACTCGGAATAGGAAACACTTCTAATAATGTTTCTTCTGGGTCCAAAACTAAAACCCACACATTATAGAGAAGTATGGAGAAGAAAATAAATGTCGCTGTATTAGGTTTTTAATCTCTGTATTTATTAATACTTTTTTTTTGAGATAGAGTCTTGCACTATTCCCCAGGCTGGAGTGCAGTGGTGTGATCTCCACTCACTGCAACCTCCACCTCCTGGGTTCAAGCGATTCTCCTGCCTCAGCCTCCCAAGTACCTGGAATTACAGGCTCCCACCACCACACCCAGGTAATTTTTTGTATTTAGTAGAGACAGGGTTTCACCATGTTGGTCAGGCTGCTCTCAAACTCCCAACCTCTGGTTATCCACCACAAAGTTCTGGGATTACAGGCATGAGCTACCATGCCCAGCCTCTTAATACTATTTTAATGAAGATGCTGGGGTACAGCAGATCCATATTGCTACTTACATGATAATAACCACGCCAGTTTGCCCCGATTCTTCCTCCTGGGGTGAGAAATGAGAACTAGCTGTTATTCCACATGCATTTGAGTTTGTACTCCAGGCGAGGACCATCCCAATTCTGAATCTAAGTGGTTACATAGGAAAGGAACTTTTTGAGAGAGGGAGGGAAAGAATGTACCTCCCAAATGTCATGTGGACAGAGAGACAAGGACCCTGGCTTTTAGCCTTTGAAAGTAAACACAGTTCTCCGGGGGAAGGTAAGACTAGTAGCCTTTTTTTTCATTTCCTAGAGACAAGGTCTAGCTCTGTCACCCAGACTGGAGTGCAGTGGCAAGATCATAGCTCACTGCAGCCTCAAACTCCTGGGCTCAATGGATCTTCCCAAGTAGCGAGGACTACAGGCTCACACCACCACACCCACAATTTTTTTCTTTTTTTTTTTTTTTGTTGCGTTTTGGTCTTGCTCTGTTGCCCAAGCTGGTCTCAAACTCATGGCCTCCAGTGATCCGCTCACAGTGCTGGAATTACAGGCATGGGCCACTATGCCCAGCACCAACTAATCACTTTAGAACCCAGCTTTACTGTTCAGGAGCTGCCTCCGTGGTGTGGGTCTCACCCACCCTTGATGTCTAAACACATAACCCTCCAGGGAAGGGAACCTCTGGGGTTCTCAGTAGCCAATCAGTCATGAGTTGAATTTCAGAGGCTTATCCTTTAGTCCAGATCTTACCTTTCAATCAGATAAGCTTAGAGAGCCCTAACTATACAGAAACCTAAAAATACTTCCTTTCTAGTCCCACACACCAGAAAACTCTTCCTAAAACAAAACTGACTTGAGTCATTTCTGGAACAAGGCAAGATACCTATAAATAAATAATAAATTCAGATGTGAACACGAATGTGTATGAGTCTCAATATGCAGAGCAGAGCATATTGGGCAGAGCACCCTGATTGTCAAGGTCACTATGTAGTTAAACATAATCACTGTGAGCTGCATTTACCAGCCAAAGGCAAAAATATAGCCACAGCTCTTTTAATTTTGAAGTAATGGCTCAAGTAATATACCCTCATGATGTTAACAGAGTTAACCAAGTATTGATGCATTTACACGTAGCAGGCGCCAGGCGAAGATACCTACCAAACTGCATGTGGCCAGACCACTTCCTTTGCACAGCAACCCATGGGATAGTTACCTTTATAATCCCATTTTATCAGTAGGGAAGCCGAGGCTGGGGAGATGAAACCTCTTGCCTAAGATCACACATCCAGAAAGTTCCAAAGTCAGGATGTGAGCCCAGATTTCTCTCCAGACCCATAAGGCTAAATGTGTTAACATTCAGGTGCTTCCTTCCAGGTAGAAATCTTTGAAGAGTTAAGATCTACTAGCTGGGTGTGGTGGCTCATGCCTATAATCCCAGCACTTTGGGAGGCTGAGGTGGTCAGATTGCTTGAGCCTAGGAATTCGACACCAGCCTGGCCAACATGGCAAAACCCCATCTCTACTAAAAATACAAAAATTACCTGGACCTGGTGGCATATACCTGTAATCCCAGCTACTCAGGAGGCTGAGGCAGGAGAATTGCTTAAACCCAGGAGGTAGAGGTTACAGTGAGCCAAGATTGCACCACTGCACTCCAGCCTGAGCAACAGAGCAAGACTCTATCTTAAAAAGAAAGAAAATTTTAAAAATCTATCAGCTGGGCACAGTAGCTCATGCCTATAATCCCAGCACTTTGGGAAGCCAAGGCAAATGGGTTGCTTGAGCCCAGGAGTTCGACACCAGCCTAGCCAGCATGGCAAAACCCCGTCTCTACTAAAACTACAAAGATTAACCAGGTACAGTGGTGCACACCTGTAATCCCAGCTACTCAGGAGGCTAAGATGGGAGGGTCAGTTGAGCCCAGGAGTTGGAGGCTGCTGTGAGCCCTGATTGCACCACTGCACTCCAGCCTAGGTGACAGAGGGAGACCCTGTCTCAAAACAAAACAAAAAAATCTACTGTAGGTCCAGTTTAGTGAACTGCTGCATTCTGATTTTAACCACTCAAAACCCCTTTGTGGTAGATGTTTTCATTGCCCCCCATTTTAACTGGAGAATCTAAGCCTGGAGCGATGGCTCACGCCTGTAATCCCAACACTTTGGCAGGCTGAGGTGGGTAGATCACCTGAGGTCAGGAGTTCGAGACCAGCCTGGCCAACATGGTGAAACCTCGCCTCTGCTAAAAATACAAAAATTATCTGGGCGTGGTATTGCGCACCTGTAATCCTAGCTACTTGGGAGGCTGTGGCAGGAGACTCACTTGAACCCAGAAGGCAGCAGCTGCAGTGAGCCGAGATCATGCCACTGCATTCCAGCCTGGGTGACAGAGTGAGACCCCATCTCAAAGAAAAAGAAACTGAGACCCAGGGAGAGGATGTGACTGACCCGGGCTGCAGTGACCTGTGGGCTGGGAAAGCCCCTCTGCATATACCGCCTCTGAGATTCATTCCATACCAGGTGGCATGAGAGTTGGGACAGCTCTCGCCTTCAGACTAGCCAGGCCTAAAGTTAACGTGGCAGGCAGAAGTATCTAGAAATGTGTGAAAACCTGCCAGTCCCACCCAGACAGCCTCTCTCTCCCAGCCTTCATAAAGCAGGAATGTTCTGACTCCTCTGAGGGTCCCAGGCACCCCATGAGAAGCCAGACCCTTCTCAGGGGGGGCATTTCTTCCTGTCCGCTTAGCCCAGGAGGAACTCCAGAGGCTGCTGTTTTTTTGTCCCCAGCCCAGACAGGGCTCTGTGACTGGTCATCATAGCTCCAGGATGGGGTCCAGGACTAGGCAGGCAGGACCTGTGGCCTTCAGAGGACTGCCTTCCCCACCCCTGCCTGAGACGGTGCAGGGAGAAGACAGAAGTGCGGAGTGGGTTCTACGGTGGCTGTGCTCACCTCTCACCCACGCTGTCCCCTTCTCCCCAGCGAGCCGAGGCTGCCCAGCGGGAGGTGGAAAGTCTCCGGGAACAGCTGGCCTCTGTCAACAGCTCCATCCGCCTGGCTTGTTGCTCTCCCCAGGGGCCTAGTGGGGTAAGGATGGGGTCAGGGAAGAGAGCAGGGAGGGCAGAGGGAAAGATCGGGAATGGCCGAGTTTGTGGTTTTGAACAGGTGGGGGACACTTTGTGGTTGATTGCGTGCATCCATTTGAAACTGTGAGTATGAATGCATGTGGGTCTCTATGCAGTTGTGAGCGTAATCACTGTGACCTGCTGTAACAGCTGCAACAGCTGAGGATAAAAATACAGCTACTGTTCTTTACTTTTCAAGCCCAAGTTTCCATATACCCTTTATTACCAGGAGGTCCAGTATCTTCCTTTGGAGGCCTCCCTTACCCCCAGTTGTCCAAGAATGCCAGGAACTTCCTCAGACCAAAGATCATTCTGATTGTCAGATGCACCAGCAAAGACATAGGGGAGAGTGAGTTTGAGGCAATACAGCAGCATGCCGTTTTCGTGGATGCCACCAGGTGTCGCTGTTGAACACTGGTCTTAGCAGCTTGGTGGATAGATACAAGGGATGGTGATATTCCTGCTGGTTTTCAATCCCAAAACTGGGTACTTTTGGGAGTGTGAGCCAGCCTACATATCGTCAGCAATCATTATCACCAGAACTGCAGTGGGGCCACATACCAAGATAAAGTTTAACATTCATCATCAGCCATTGGTTTCCAAAGCATGCCAGGTGATTCTTGAGGGGTTCCCACCCCAGCTGCATGCTGTGAAAAGCCAGTCTTTGGTGATCAACGCTGAGGTTCTTGTGTTAGGCTGGTTAATTAATTCATCTTTCTCCTTCCTCCTGGTTCACACCTCTTTGGGGTCCCGGTATCATTTTCTAACAAGAGACTTTCATCAAGGCCACCCCAACCTACTCTTCTGTCCTATATTAGCAGTCTCCATCTTGGCTCTCCAGAAAGCCTTGGGTTCATTATGTGAATTGGCCTGCCTTATTTCCAGATCTCTGCATATCAAGGGATGAGAGTCATGATTCCTTACATAAGAGCAGGTCTCTTCCCTCTCCATCTATAAACCTGAACTCGTGAGCATAATTTTCAATTCTCCTGACACCCATATATACAGGCCCAGGTGTCTGTGTCTCTCTTTCTGTTTGAATATTGGAATGTGCCTCTATGAATGTGTTACTGCATATGTGTGTCTCTACTTCTGACCTTTGGGAACCAACTGTATTCTTAATCTGACTGTGCCTCATTTTCCTCATCTGTACAAGTAACACCTGCTTTGTAGAGTTATTAAAAGAATTACATGAGTCAGGCATGGTGGCACATGCCTGTAGTCCCAGCCACTTAGGAGGCTGAGGCAGGAAGATCACTTGAGCCCAGGAATTTGAGTACAGCCCGGGCAACATAGCAAGATTCTGTCTCTGAAAAAAAAAAAATGGATTACATGTAAAGTGCCTAAAATGGCACTTGGGTCGTTGCATATGCTCACTAAGTATTTGATGCTACTATTAGAATTATAATTTTGTCTTTGGTGTGTCTGGGGTGTTCTTGCCCATGAGAGCATGTGGCTTCTTCAAGCACGTGCATGTCTGTGTGTGATGATGTGTCTTCGTGAGTGTGTCTCTTTGATGCATGTGTATTTCTCTGTGTGTGTGTGCGCGTATTTGGGGAAGTGTCACGTGTGTTAGTGTGTGCTGTGGCTATAGGTATATCCTTGGGTGTCAGCCTGTGCCTGTGTCCCAGGAGATTGTATATGCGTCCGTGTGCCTGGGTGACAACATAACACAGAGAGTGAACACAGGAGAGAGGCTGTGTGGAGAGATGGAGAGGAATTTGCCAATGCTTCTTAATTAACCCCCGTGGAACCCGGCAAATGCCTGTGCTAATCAGCCCCAGGGAACTTTGCTGGTTTGTGGGGGGTGTGCTTTTCTGAGCACAACAGTGGCACTCGATGCTAATTAATTTAATGTATTAATGGCATCCGCTTCCTGTTTTAATTGGCATTTATCTCCATGGAAGAAAGCTGGGGTTGGGGTTTTTGTTTGTTTGTTGTGTTGCTTTTTTTCTGTAATGCTTCTTAGATTTATGTGTAACTCAGCCTGACAACAGCCTGACTTAAGCAACCTCTCCATCTTCATCCAGGACAGATGGGCCATGTCCTAAAATCTGGAGAAGCTGTGGGTCTTAGGGCTCTCAGCAAATTAGGAGGAGGAAAGAGCCACCCATAACCTGGCCCGTGGCTCCAAGGTGTCAAGTCTAATCCTAATCCTGAATGTCCCATCGCCTAGAACAGGTTCATTCCCCAGGGCTAGGAGCCAGACCAGAGTAAGAGACTCAAACCCTTGCCTATGCTGTTTCCTCCGCCCTGAGTGCCCAGTCCCCAGCTGACTACTTTCTTTTGTGGGGCTGTTCTTTTTTAGTCAATCTTTTAATTGCGGTATAACTTCACACATAAGGAAAAGCATCCTGGTCATAGTGTACAGCACTTTGAATTTTTCAACATAAACATACCCCATACCAACATCCTGATCAAGAAATTTGCATTCTGCCTGGGATTCAGGGGTGGGGAAGCCAGACCCGTGGGCCTGTCCCCCACCTCTCAGCCCCTGAGAGCCCCCTTTTCCTACAGGATAAGGTGAACTTTGCTTTGTGCTCGGGACCTCGGCTGGAGGCTGCGCTGGCCTCCAAGGACAGGGAGATCCTGCGGCTGCTGAAGGACGTGCAGCACCTGCAGAGCTCGCTGCAGGAGCTGGAGGAGGCGTCCGCCAACCAGATCGCAGACCTGGAGCGGCAGCTCACAGCCAAGTCTGAGGCCATAGAGGTGGGTCCTGGGGAGGAGGCCAGCGGGCAGGTGGCCCCAGGCACAAGCACACAGACCAGCCTCACCATCTTTCTTTGCTCTTCTAGAAGCTGGAAGAGAAGCTCCAGGCCCAGTCTGACTATGAGGAAATTAAAACAGAGCTGAGGTACCTTGTGGGGTGGGGCTCCACAGACCCCCAGCACTCTTCCCTGGCCAGGAGCACTTAGCAAAGTTCATCAGTTTCCTCCCCCCTACTAAACCCCATTCTTCTCTCCACTAACGCTGTGGATATCAAACCTCAACCATCCTCAGGCTGCCTGTAATCCCAACACTTTGGGAGGCCAAGGCAGGAGGATCACTTGAGCTCGGGAGATAGAGACCACCCTGGGCAACAATGGGGAAACCCGAATCTCTATGAGAAAAAAAAAAAAAACAGTTTTAATTAGCCAGGAGTGGTGGTGGTGTGTGCTGTATTCCTAGCCACTCAAGAGGCTGATGTGGGTGGATAGCTTGAGCCTGGGAGGTCAAGGCTGCAGTGAGCTCTGGTTGTACCACTGCCCTCCAGCCTGGGCAGCACAGCAAGATCCTGTCTTGAAAACAAAACAAAATTCAACCATCTTACTTCTTTTTCCATCAAGAGCTGCCTTGCCTATAAAGGCAGATCACCTGAGGTCAGGAGTTCCAGACCAGCCTGGTCAACATGGCAAAACCCCATCTCTACAAAAAATAGATAAATTGGCTGAGCACGGTTGCTCACACCTGTAATCTTAGCACTTTGGGAGGCCAAGGTGGGCAGATCACCTGAGGTCAGGAGTTCGAGACCAGCCCGACCAATGTGACGAAATCTCATCTCCACTAAAAATACAAAATTAGCCGGGCATGGTGATGCTTGCAATCCCAGCTACTCAGGAGGCTGAGGCAGGAGAATCGCTTGAACCCAGGAGACGGTGGTTTCAGTGAGCAGAGATCGTGCCATTGCACTCCGGCCTGGGTGACAGGAGCGAAACTCCATCTCAAAAAAAATAAAAATAAAAATACAGGCTGGGCGTGGTGGCTCATGAGGTGGATCATGAGGTCAAGAGATTGAGATCATCCTGGCCAACATGGTGAAACCCTGTCTCTACTAAAAAATACAAAAATTAGCTGAGCATGGTGGCGCGCGCCTATAGTCCCAGCTATTCAGGAGGTTGAGGCAGGAGAATTGCTTGAACCCAGGAGGCGGAGATTGTAGTGAGCCAAGATTGCGCCACTGCACTCCAGCCTGGTGCCTGGCGACAGAGCAAGACTCTGTCTCAAAAAAAAAAAAAAATACAAAAATTAGCCAGGTGTGGTGGCGCTCACCTGTAATCACAGCTACTTGGGAGGCTGAGGTAGGAGAATCACTTGAACCCAGAAGACAGCGATCATGCCACTGCCCTCCAGCCTGGGTGACAGAGTGAGACTCCGTCTCAAAAAAAAAAAAAAAAAATCTGCCTGTAGACCATACAAGAGACATTATGATGGACATGGTGTGGGTGTGGTAACTGGGAGGTGATTGGTTAGCCCACCAAAGTCAAGCCAGCCAGAATGGGGTCAGTTGAGGCAGCACCCCGCCAGGTCCCACTGCTGTTAATGAGCCAGCTGCCTCAGGCCTGGGTTGCAATGAGTCTGGAAATATGTGGGGTTCTGGGGAATGGAGCAGTCATTCCCGGTCAGAGAGGTAAGCCGGGTCAGTGCCTCTCGCAAGACGTCTCCTCCAGCCCAGGGGTGGCTGACCTCAGACCCTCTCCACTTGTCCGGCAGCATCCTGAAAGCCATGAAGCTGGCCTCCAGCACCTGCAGCCTGCCCCAGGTAAGTGACCCTGCCACTGTCCCTGAAGGGCGGGCTGCCCCAGTGAGTCTTCCACCCACCAGGTGCCCTCTCAACCTGCCTCTTGTCTCGTAGGGCATGGCCAAGCCCGAAGACTCACTGCTTATTGCAAAGGAGGCCTTCTTCCCTGCGCAGAAATTCCTTCTGGAGAAGCCCAGCCTCCTGGCCAGCCCTGGTAGGGGAGGAGGATGCCCTGGGGGCTGAGGGCTGGGGTGGGGGCTGCCTGTGGGTCTCTGGCCTTCTCATACCCAGGGACCACTGCCTTCCATGCAGGCAGGAGAGCGACCGACAAGCAGCTGTGCGTTTGGATTTGGCACCTGCTGTGTGCCTGTCCTGCGGGGCGTCCACACATACCCACATCACAGTTGAGGCCACACAGCTTGGCCCTTCCAAGGCCCCCCTAGAGGGCTCCACTCCCCCCTGAACTTTCTTGCGCTGCAGGGGCTTTCATGAAGAGGTCACGGGACAAGTCGGGCGTTCTCAGTGTACCCCTCTCAGCCACTCGCTGACCTTTGTTTCTCTGAGACTGACTCTTGCTCTGTCACCAGGCTGAAGTGCAGTGGTGTGATCTCAACTCACTGCAGCCTCTGCCTCCCGGGTTCAAGCAATTCTCTTGCCTCAGCCTCCTGAGTAGCTAGGATTACAGGCGCCCACCACCACACCCAGCTAATTTTTATATTTTTAGTAGAGACAGGGTTTCACCATACTGGCCAGGCTGGTCTCAAACTCCTGACCTCAGGTGATCTACCTCCCTCAGCCTCCCAAAGTGCTGGGATTACCGGCATGAGCCACTTTGCCTGGCCGCCCGCTGACCTTTTAGCCTTGTGACCCCAGGCAGGACTCTGTGCTGCCTCTGTTTCATCATCCGTAAAATGGGTGCAACCCTGGGGTCTACTTCATGGGTGCCATGCAGGTCTAGTGAGCCAGCTCCAGGGTAGCTGCCCAGCAAGGGGCCATCTGCAGGTGGTGGCAAGTTTGACTTCCCACCCTAGGGCGAGGTGCTGGGCCATGGCAAGTTCTCAGGGGATGCTCTTGGTGATGGGGGTGGCGCATTCCCCAGAACTGGCATTTGGGCGGGGCCTGGAAGAGTAGGGGTTGGAGAATGAAGGGGTAGGCAGAAACAACCATGGTTGGCACTTCCAGCTGCTGGATGCCAGCTCTCCACCACCCTTCCCCGTCCCTCCTTCCCTTCCTCCCTTCCTCTGTTCTGACTTTCTGTCTCTGGTTGTCTCTGTCTCTCACTGCCTCTCCCGCTTTCTCCTCACCCCTCTCTCTCATGTGGTTTCTCTCTCTGTCTCTCATTGTCTCCTTATCTCTCTCTCTCACATGCTGTGTCTCTGTCTCCCTCTCCGCCTCTCTCTCTCCGCCTCTCTCATGTGATTTCTCTTTCTCGTTGTCTCTGTCTGTCTCTCTCCCCCTCTGGTTCTTTTTCTCCCTGTCTGTCTCCCCTCATCATCATCTTCCCCGTCTGTCTGTCTGTCCATCTGTCTGTCTGTCTGGGTGTTCTAGAGGAGGACCCATCAGAGGACGATTCCATCAAGGACTCACTGGGCACGGAGCAGTCCTACCCCTCCCCTCAGCAGCTCCCACCTCCGCCGGGGCCTGAAGACCCCTTGTCCCCCAGCCCCGGGCAGCCCCTGCTGGGCCCCACCTTGGGACCCGACGGCCCTCGGACTTTCTCGCTGTCCCCCTTCCCCAGCCTGGCATCAGGGGAGAGACTGATGATGCCCCCAGCCACCTTCAAGGGAGAGGCGGGCGGCCTGCTGGTGTTCCCCCCAGCCTTCTACGGCACCAAGCCCCCCACAGCCCCTGCCACCCCAGCCCCTGGCCCTGAGCTGCCAGGGGGTCCTGAGCCCACGGATGGTGGTGGGGGCGGAGCAGCGGGGCCTGGGGCGGAGGAGGAGCAGCTGGACACGGCGGAGATCGCCTTCCAGGTGAAGGAGCAGCTGCTGAAGCACAACATTGGGCAGCGCGTGTTTGGCCACTACGTGCTGGGGCTGTCCCAGGGCTCGGTCAGCGAGATCCTAGCCCGGCCCAAGCCCTGGCGCAAGCTCACGGTGAAGGGCAAGGAGCCCTTCATCAAGATGAAGCAGTTCCTGTCGGACGAGCAGAACGTGCTGGCACTCAGGACCATCCAGGTGCGGCAGCGAGGTTAGTGCCCAAGAGGGCTGGTCCCCACGACACAGGGGCTGTGCTGGCCACCACGCCAGGTCCAGGGCATTAGGGCTGGGAGCTGAGGGCACAAGTTCTGGGTTCAAAGCCCAGCTCTGCCACCACCTGGCTGTGTCACCTCGGGCAAGTGACTTTGCCTCTCTGTACCCCGGTTTCCCCTCTGTAAAAGCAGAAAATACATCCTCAACCCCTCCTTTCTGGCCCCAGCCAGAGACAGGCCGCCCCTCCTGGGGCACTCAGGATAAGGGTGGTGGGAAAAGGCTCCAGACGCTGCCCTGGCAGGTACTCACCAAGCACTTCCAAGCCTCAGTTTACACATTTGTAAGACTACCAGCCTTACCAGACTTGATTTTTCAGGTAATCAGTGTGAAGGGTCCTAGCTGTGGCCTCACAAATGCCTGAGTTTGAGTCCCAGCTCTGCTGTTCACCCACTGGGTGACCTCACACAGCTCCTTTCATCTGTGCCTCAGTTTCTGCATCTGTCAGCCTCCGGGAGGTGCCATGAGGATTAAATGGGCATCCAGCACTGACCACAGCACCTGCCATATAGTGCGGCTTGAGAACAATTAGGGAGTTAGGGGTGGCAGCTGCCATGTCATTGTCGTCATCATTTCTTTTTTTTTTTTTTTTTTTTGAGACGGAGTCTCACTGTGTCACTCAGGCTGGAGTGCAGTGGCACAATCTCTGCTCATTGCAACCTCTGCCTTCCGGGTTTAAGCGATTTTCCTGCCTCAGCCTCCCTAGTAGCTGGGACTACAGGCACATGCCACCATGCCCAGCTAATTTTTACATTTTTAGTAGAGACAGGGTTTCGCCATGTTGATCAGGCTGGTCTCAAACTCCTGACCTCAGGTGATCCATCCGCCTCAGCCTCCCAAAGTGCTGGGATTACAGGCCTGAGCCACTGCACGCTATTTCTTTATTATTCTTCTTTTTTTTTTTGACAGTCTGGCTCTGTCACCCAGGCTGGAGTACAGTGGTGCAATCTCGGCTGACTGCAACCACCTCCTCCCAGGTTCAAGCAATTCTCCTGCCTCAGCCTCCCTAGTAGCCAGGACTACAGGCCATCACCACCACGCCCAGATAATTTTGTATTTTTAGTAGAGATGGGGTTTCACCATGTTGGTCAGTCTAGTCTCAAACTCCCGACCTCAGGTGATCCACCCGCCTCAGCCTCCCAAAGTGCTAGGATTATAGGCATGAGCCACCGCACCCGGCCTGTTTCTCATGATTCTTATTTCAAGCCAGTATCACTCATAGGCCCACAGTTTTTCAGGTAGACTAAGCAGTGGCCCTGCCATCTCACTGACAGTCTGCTGCTCACTCTCCTGGGAGGAGGAGACAGCCCCCCAGGCTCCGGAGCGGAGCCCAGCATGCAGCTCTTGCCACAGATGCCTTCTCGCCTCCCCCAGGCAGCATCACCCCGAGAATCCGCACACCTGAAACGGGCTCAGACGATGCCATCAAGAGCATTCTAGAGCAGGCCAAGAAGGAGATCGAGTCGCAGAAAGGTGGTAAGTGTGACCCCTACAGGCAAGGCCTCAGGTCCCCAGGGCCAGCTCTGAACAGGAGAGGCCTCATCTACCTTTGTCCACCCCGGAGGGAATCGCAGGCAGATCAGAACCGCCAGAGGCCAGAGGGACCTGTCTAGAGCACACGGGTGGTCGTGTCATGGCTCAGAACCCTGCCGTGGCTCCACACAGCTCTCGAAATAAAATCCCAACCCTTGGCTGGGTGCAGTGGCTCATGCCTGTAATCCCAGCACTTTCGGAGGCTGAGGTGGGCAGATCACCTGAGGTCAGGAGTTTGAGACCAGCCTGGCAAACATGGTGAAACCCCATCTCTACTAAAAATAGAAAATTAGCTGAGCATGGTGGTGGGAACCTGTAATCCCAGCTACTCAGGAGGCTGAGGCAGGAGAATCACTTGAACCCAAGAGATGGAGGTTGCAGTAAGCCAAAATCACACCACTGCACTCCAGCCTGGTTGACAGAACGAGACTCCAACTCAAAAAAAAAAAAGAAAGAAAAGAAAAAATCCCCAGCCTCAGTAAGGCCTACTGGCCCTCAAGTCTTCAGGCCCCTCCGTGCCTGTTACACAAACTGTGTATAGTCATGCCCAGCCCCTGTGCATCCCACCCTGCACCTCTGATGCCGTCCTTACCCCAGACACCTTTCATCTGGCCAACTCCTGCTCATATCTATGACTCAACTCAGAAGTCACCTCCTCCAAGAAGATGGATGGGGTGCTGCACCCCTCCGCCACCCCCACCACAATGACCTACTTGCTTGATGCAGTGGAGCCAGATTGGCCACAAATTCGGGCTCCCAGGACCCTGGGCCACTGCACACACGCAGCAGGCCCAGGACACTCAAGGCTCTCTCTTTTTTTTTTTTTTTGAGACAGAGTTTCACTCTTGTCGCCCAGGCCGGAGTACAATGGCACAATCTCAGCTCACCACAACCTCCTCCTCCCAGGTTCAAGCAATTCTCTGCCTCAGCCTCCCAAGTAGCTGGAATTACAGGCCAGTGCCACCATGCCCAGCTAATTTTTGTATTTTTAGTAGAGATGGGGTTTCTTCATGTTGGTCAGGCTAGTCTCGAACTCCCAACTTCAGGTGATCCGCCTGCCTCGGCCTCCCAAAGTGCTGGGATGACTGCACCTGGCCCATCTTCTCATCTTTAAAATGGGGATTGTATTAGTTTTCCTTTCTTAGGGTTGTGTGAGGATCAATTGAAATCGGCGTAATCCTGAAACATCAGCCATCATTATAGCAAATAGAATTATTACCTCCCTGCTGCAGCTCTGCAGCGTCACAAACAACTCTGCTGGTGTAGCTGTCCCTCCCTCTGCTCTGGGGGCTTCTCGCAGCCAGGGACCGAGTTCCATCCTCACACCCAGCACAGCGCAGACTGTGGCTAACTCAGACCCAGGACTCCAGCTTCTATGCCCACCTCCATTTTTGCAGTGTCTGCTGTCCCCTGGTGGCCGTTCAGAGCAGGTGTCCCGAATCCTCCAGTTGCCGCCAGGAGCTGAGATGTTTCACAATCACCCTCCCTCCTGCCTGGTCCCTGGCAGGGGAGGGGATAAGGGAAGAAGGGACTTAACTGGCTACCCTACCCCACCTGTAAAATCCCCTGAGCCTAATGTCCTTCTTGGTCAGTTCCAGTAGCAAGAGAGATGCAAGACAGAGAAGGATGTGATCATGCAGTAAACATTTATTAAGCACCTACTGTGGACTAGACACAGGTTTCAGATATGGGCAAGACATGATATGGAAGTGTAAAGAACCACGAGAAATAACCAGCCAGGGCTGGGTGCGGGGGCTTTTGCCTGTAATCCCAGCACTTTGGGAGGCCTAGGCAGGTGGATCACCTGAGGTCAGGAGTTTGAGACCAGCCTGGACAACATGGTAAAACCCCATCTCTGCTAAAAATACAAAAATTAGCTAGGCATGATGGTGGGTGCCTGTAATCCCAGCTACTTGGAGGCTGAGGCAGAATTGCTTGAACCTGGGAGGCAAAGGTTGCCGTGAGCCGAGATCACACCACTGCACTCCAGCCTGGACAACGAGAGAAAAACTCGATCTAAAAAAAAAGAAACCCCGTCTCCTCTAAAAATAAAAAAAATCAGCTGGGTGTGGTGGCATGCACCTGTGGTCCCAGCTACTCAAGAGGCTGGGGCAGGAGGATCACCTGAGCCCAGGAGGCAGAGGTTGTAGTGAGCTGGGCATAGTGGTACAGGCATGTAGTCCCAACTACTTCAGAGGCAAGGATGGGACGATCGCTTGAGCACAGTAGTTTGAGACCAGACCGGGCAACATAACAAGACTGTGCTCCAGCCTGTGTGATGGAATGAGACTATGTCTCAAAAAGGAAAAAAGAATAGAAAAAGAAATAACTAGCCAAAGTCTCCCACTAAACCGACAGGATGACTGAGGCCAGGGAGGGAAGGCATGAGTTCAATTACACAGAGACAGAAGAAAACCCCAGGTCTCCCGCCTCTCTATACAGCACTTTCTCCTGGGGGTCAGAAGCAGGCAGCAGGGCAATGTCAAAGGCAACATCACAGCAGAGGAAAACGTTTGCTATACGTGGGCCAGCTGGTGGGCTTATGTTCAGGGCCTAGTTCAGCAAGAGGAAAAATACAAAGGTGACTGCCATATGCCCCTGACAAAAATGAATGCTAAGCAGTGGGCATGGCAGCTGCTGCCAGGGAGGAAATGAATGTGACTACCGGCTCACTCTCAAGTTCTACTTCTGGGACTTGAAGGAAATGTCTGGAATGGGCTCAGGGTTTATATATAAGCTGTTCCCATCATTGTTCATAAGAGTGACAGACTGGAAACAAAACACCCTAAGCGTCCAGCGGTGGGAATCTGGTAAGTCAAGCAGATGATATCCCTTCAGCGGCATGTGCAGCCCTTAAGGTAGAACTTTTAATGATAGGAAAAATGGGGCTGGGTGCAGTGCTCACACCAGTAATCTTTGGGAAGACAAGGCAGATGTTTGAGGTCAGGAGTTTAAGACCAGCCTGGCCCACATGGCAAAACCCTGTCTCTACTAAAATAGAAAAATTGGCCAGGTGTAGTGGCCAGCACCTGTAATCCCAGCTACTCAGAGGCTGAGGCAGGAGAATTGTTTGAACCTGGGAACCAGAGGTTGCAGTGAGCCAAGATCGCACAATTGCACTCCAGCCTGGATGACAGAGCAAGACTGTGTCTCACCAACAAGGCCAGGAGGGGTGGCTCATGCCTATAATCCCAGCACTTTGAGAGGCCAAGGCAGGCGGATCACGAGGTCAGGAGTTTAAGACCAGAGTGGCCAACATGGTGAAACCCCATCTCTACTAAAAAAAAAATACAAAAATTAGCTGGGCATTGTGGCTTGTGCCTGTAATCCCAGCTTCTTGGGAGGCTGAGATTGGACAGTTGCTTAAACTGAGACCTGGGAGGCAGAGGTTGCAGTGAGCTGAGATCCTCCAGCCTGGGCTACAGAGCAGGACTACATCACACACGCGCGCGCGCGCACACACACACACACACACACACACAATGCTTAGCTGGGCACAGTGGCACAGGCATGTGGTCCCAACTATTTCAGAGGCTGAGGCGGGACGATTGCTTGAGCACAGTAGTTTGAGACCAGACCAGGAAACAGAGCAAGAGCCTTTCCCCAAAAAAGAAAAAAGAAAAGAAAAAACACAATGTTGGTGCTAAACGGGGACAAACAAGACTACATTTTCACATATCAAGTATGGTCATGTGATACGTGTAGTTTAGAAAACAGACTGGAAGGGAATACGTGAGAATATTTCACATGGTTGCCCTAGGAGACAGGAAGGGGGACTTTTATTTTTTCATCTTGACTGTTTGTGCTTTTTTTTTTTTTTTCATGCTCTTCTGTGTTCCCACAGTAGGCAAGTATGAAGATTTTTAAATCGAGGTAAAATTCTTGTAACATAAAATTAAATTTTTTTTTTGGAAATGGAGTCTCTCACTCCGTCGCCTAGGCTGAAGTGCAGTGGCGCGATCTCGGCTCTCCGCAGCCTCCGCCTCTGGGGCTCAGGTAATTCTCCTGCCTCAACTTCCCTCACATATGCAAAAAAAAAAAATTGACCACGCCTGGCCAATTTTTGTATTTTTAGTAGAGATGGGGTTTCACCATGTTGGCCAGACTGGTCTCAAATTCCTGACCTCAACTGATCCACCTGCCTCAGTCTCCCAAAGTGCTGGGATTAGAGGCGTGAACCCCTGCACCCAGCCAAAGCTAACCATTTTAAAGTGTACTGTTCAGTAGTATTTAATACAGTCACAGTGGTATGCAACATCACCTCTCTCCAGTTCACACATTTCATCACCCCAGAAGGAAACCCTGTACCCATGAAGCACAGCTTCTCCATTCCACTCTCCCCGCAGCCCCTGGCGAGCTCTGCTCTGCATCCTGTTTCTCTGGATTAACCTATTCTGCACATTTCATGTAAATGGAATCATATCCTACGTGCTGCTTTGCGTGAGCCCTGTGTTTGTAAGACTCATTCCTGTCGTCGCCCCTGTCGGTGCTTCATTCCTTTTTATGACAAAAAATAATGTTCCATTGCTATATTACTTTTTAATTGGAAAAGCAATGAAAATTATTTTTAATGGGTCTAAGAGGACTCACTAGGATGAGAACTACACAGAGATAATGAAGAAGGGGTTACATTGATCTGGCTCTCTGCAGAGCTGGAGAGACCGCAGTGTGGGGAACGCCACTCCGAGGGCAGAGGGAAGCACCTTTTCATTTACTGGTTAATTGTCATTCCTCAGGGCACAGATCCATCTATTATCCTTGGTTCATGGCACACTCTTAGAGCTGCTGCCTGCATGGCCTCCTGCCGTGTGTGTGTATATATGTGTACATATGTGTGTGTGCATTCATTCATGTGCATGACAGAGTAAACCCCTGGGAACCTACGGCCCAACCCAAGATTTAGAAAGTTCCCCGTAACATAGATCTGGCATTTTCCTCCCCCATCCCACCCCTGCCTTCCTCTCCCAGATGTATCTTTCATCCTAAATTTTTGTCCTGTTGTTCCTTTGTGTTTGCCATTTGTAGAAGACATGTTTCACTAAATCACATATTGTATATGTTATTCGTTATGGAGCTTGATAGAAAATGTGTGATGCTGGGTACGGTGGCTCACGCCTGTAATCCCAGCACTTTAGGAGGCCGAGGCGGGTAGATCATTTGAGCTCAGGAGTGTAAGACTAGCCTGGCTAACGTGGTGAAACCCCATCTCTACTAAAAGTACAAAAAAACAATTAGCCAGGCCCAGTGGCCAGTGCCTGTAATCCCAGCTACTCAGGAGGCTGAGGCAGAAGAATTGCTTGAACCCAGGAGGTGGAAGTTGCAGTGAGCCGAGATCACGACACTGCGCTCCAGCCTGGGCAACAGAGCAAGACTCCGTCTCAAAAAAAAGAACACATGATTCTGCATGCCATCTTGTTGGACTTGTTTTAGTTGTTGTCTTTTGTTTTGTTTTTGAGGCAGGGTCTCACTCAGATGCCCAGGTTGGAGTGCAGTGGCGCAAACATGGCTCACTGCAGCCTCCACCTCCCAGAATCAAGTGATCCTCCTGCCTCAGCTGGGACCGTAGGCACACACCGCCATGCCTGGCTAATTTTTTTTAATTCTTTATAGAGATGTGGGTCTCATTTTGTTGCCCAGGCTGGTCTTGAGCTCCTGGGCTCCAGTAATCCTCCTGCCTTAGCCTCCCAAAGTGCTGATATTACAAGTATAACCCACTGCTTCCAGCCTGGACTTGCTTCTTTCACTCAATATTATGTTATCAGGATTCACACAAAGGGCACAGTAGCTCACCCCTGTTGTCTCAGCTACTCGGGAGGGTGAGGCAGGAGAACCACTTGAGCCCAGGAGTTTGAGACCAGAGAGCTGTAGTTGTACCTGTGATGGAGCCACTGCACTCCAGCCTGGGCAGCATAGCAAGACCTCATCTCTTTTTAAAAAGAATAATAATAAAATAAAGATTCCTGTGTGATTTTGCATGAGGACTTCCTTTTTCACTGCTGTATAATGTTCCATTGTGATCATCCCACTTTTTTTTTTTTTTTTTCCTCAAGATGGGGATCTTGCTCTGTCACTCAGGTCGGAGTGCAGGGTGCAATCTTGGCTCACTGCAGCCTCAACTCCCCAGGCTTAGGCATTCCTCCCGACTCAGACCCCAAAGTACAGGTGTGTGCCACCACACCTAGCTAATCTTTGTATTTTTGCCGAGACTGGGTTTTACCATATTGCCCAGGCTGGTCTTGAACTCCCAAACTCAGGCAATTTGACTACCTCAGCCTCCCAAAGTGCTGAGATTACAGGTGTAAGCCGCCATGCCTGGCCCATCCCACTATTTTTTTTAATCCATTCTCTGCATGAGCAATTGGATTCATTGCTGTTAGAACAAGTGAAGGGCTGGGTACGGTGGCTCATGCCTGTAATCCCTACACTTTGGGAGGCTGAGGAGGGCAGATCACCTGAGCCCAGGAGGTTGAGACCAGCCTGGGCAACATAGCAAATACATAATACCTCGTCTCTACAGAAAATACAAAAATTAGCTGGGCATAGTGGCACATGCCTGTAGTCCCAGCACTTTGGGAGGTCCAGGCAAGAGGATCGCTTGAAGCCAGGAGTTTGAAACCAGCCTAAGCAACATGGCAAGACCCCGTCTCTATGAAAGAAAGGAAGGGAAGGAAGGGGAAACGAGAAAGGAAGGAAAGTTTTTGTTTGTTTGTTTGTTTGTTTTTGAGACGGAGTCTTGCTCTGTGGCCAGGCTGGAGCACAGTGGTGCAATCTCAGCTCACTGCAACCTCCACCTCCCAGGTTCAAGCAATTCTTCTGCCTCAGCCTCCTGAGTGGCTGGGACCACAGGTGCCTGCCACCATGCCCATCTAATTTTTGTATTTTTAGTGCAGACAGGGTTTCACCATGTTGGCCAGGATGGTCTCAATCTCTTGACCTCGTGATCTACCTACCTCAGCCTCCCAAAGAGCTGGAGATTACAGGCATGAGCCACCGTGCCCGGCCAGAAGGAAATGTTTTTAAATAATATTTTTTTAAAACAGAACAAGTGAACGAGCCACTTTTCTGTGCCTTCCTGCTTTCTTTGTCTTTGAACCTTTGCATGGTTGGATCATGACCTACGTAAAAGTCAGGTCAGGCTGGGCACGGTGGCTCATGCCTGTAATCCCAGCGCTTTGGGAGGCTGAGACGGATGGATCACTTGAGCTTAGGAGTTCAAAACCAGCCTGGCCAAGATGGCAAAACCCCATCTCTACTAAAAATACAAAAATTGGCTGGGTGCAGTGGTGCACAGCTGTAATCACAGCTACTCGGGAGGCTGAGGTAGGAGAATCACTGGAACCCAGGAGGAGGAGGTTGCAGTGAGCCGAGATCACACCACTGTACTCCAGCCTGGGCGACAACAGCAAGACCCCATCTCAAAATAAAATAAGTCAAGTCTCTTCTTACATTGATTGCATCATCCCACACCCGTGAGCACCTTCTCTGCATATGCCAAAACCTTACTGTCAACCACATTTTTGGGGCTGCCTAATATTCTGCCACAAGGAGGGATCATCATTTACACTTAGCCAGTCCCCAGTTGCTGGACACAGTGCCTGTACAGCCTGCTGGTATCAACAGGGATGCTATGAACATCGTGTCCTGCATGCCCAGCCCTCACCCTGGGTGTCGGGCCACTCTGTCCCCTTCCCCGCAGGCGAGCCCAAGACCTCGGCGGCCCCACTGAGCATCGCCAACGGCGCAGGCCCCGCCAGCACCTCAGAGGACGCCATCAAGAGTATCTTGGAGCAGGCGCGCCGTGAAATGCAGGCGCAGCAGCAGGCGCTGCTGGAGATGGAGGCAGCACCCCGGGGCCGCTCGGTACCTGCCTCGCCCCCGGAGCGGCCCTCGCTGGCCACTGCAAACCAGAACGGGGCCCCGGCCTTGGTGAAGCAGGAGGAGGGCGGTGGGGGCCCCGCACAGGCACCGCTCCCGGTCCTGTCCCCGGCCGCCTTCGTGCAGAGCATCATCCGCAAGGTCAAGTCCGAGATCGGCGATGCCGGCTACTTCGACCACCACTGGGCCTCGGACCGCGGCCTGCTCAGCCGCCCCTACGCCTCCGTGTCGCCCTCGCTGTCCTCCTCCTCCTCCGGCTACTCGGGTCAGCCCAATGGCCGCGCCTGGCCCCGCGGGGATGAGGCCCCTGCGCCCCCCGAGGACGAGGCGACTGCCGGGGCAGAGGACGAGCCCTCCAGGGCGGGCGAGCTCAAGGCCGAGGGCATGGTGGCCGAGGCGGGTGCGCGGCTGCCCTACTACCCGGCCTACGTGCCGCGCACCCTGAAGCCCACCGTGCCGCCGCTGACCCCCGAGCAGTACGAGCTATACATGTACCGCGAGGTGGACACACTAGAGCTCACCCGCCAGGTCAAGGAGAAGCTGGCCAAGAATGGCATCTGCCAGAGGATCTTCGGGGAGAAGGTGAGCGCAGTGTCTGAGCTCTGGGAGATGTCAGAGAAGCAGGACGCCCACCCAAGCAGGCCCGAGGGGACTGGGCCATCATTCCTGAGTCCTGCTGTCCCTGGACCCCTCAGGAAGAAGGGCCTCCATTCTGCTCCATGGTTAAAACCGGGAAATGCTTCCATCCTGCCCAGTAAACAGCCACTTGCCTCCCCTCCTCCAGGCCCCTCCAGATCACCTGAGCTCCAACCACTAAAGGGTTAAGTGCCAGGCCTTGTGGCTCAGGCCTGTAATCCCAGCACTTTGGGAGGCGGAGGTGGGAGGATCTCTTGAGGCCAGAAGTCTGAGGCCAGCCTGGCCAACATGGCAAAACCCTATCTCTACTAAAAATACAAAAATTAGCCTGGGATGGTGGCCTGTGCCTGTATAGTCCTGGCTACCTGGGAGGCTGAGGCAGGAGCATTGCTCGAACCAGAGAGGTCGGGGTTGCAGCAAGCCAAGATGTTGCTACTGCACTCCAGCCTGGGTGACAGAATGATACTCTGTCTCAAAAAGAAAAAAAAGGGCATTGGGGACCAGCTTGGGCAATGTAGCGAGACCCCTAGCTCTACAAAATAAAAAAATTAGCCGGGTGTGGTGGTACACAGCTACTCAGGAGGCTGAGGTGGGAGAATTGCTTGAGCCCAGGTGGTCAAATCTGCAGTGAGCTGTGATCACGCCACTGCACTCCAGCCTGGGCAAAAGAGCAAGATCTCATCCCAAAATAAATACAGTTTTTTAAAAGGGTTAAGTAAGGTTTGGCCCAGCCAGGGGACCTCAGTGTGTCCTAATTGGTTGGTGCCCCTGCAAGGCCAGTTTTACATGTCACTTCCACTTTTAGCAAGGTAATAGGTAAAGAGTCAGGCAAGCTCAGAGGAAGGAGAAATGGCTTAAGTGGGAGGTCAGGGAAGGCACCCTGGAGGAAGGGGCACTGAAGGATTTTTATATGTAGGGACATCAGGGAGGGCACTAGAGGGGAGGGGCACAGCGGAGGCACACGGCAGGCACCTAGGAGGAGGAAATGAAGGCTGCGTGGACTCTAACAGAGGGGAGGGGAGGTCGGGCCTGATGGCTCACATCTGTAATCCCAACATTGTGGGAGGCCAAGTTAGGTGGATCACTTGAGGTTGGGAGTTTGAGACCAGCCTGGCCAACATGGCAAAATGCCGTCTCTACTAAAAATACAAATATTAGCCAGGCATGTGGCACCTGTCTGTGTAAGTCCCAGCTCCTCAGGAGGCTGAGGCAGGAGAATCGTTTGAACCGGGGAGGCAGAGGTTGCAGTGAGCTGAGATCACACCACTGCACTCCAGCCTGGGCAACAAAGCAAGACTCTGTCTCAAAAAAAAAAAAAAAAGGAGGGAGGGAGGGCCAGGCCTGCATCCCAGAGGCCCACTGACCTACCTGCCTGCCCCACTCCTCACAGGTGCTGGGCCTGTCACAGGGCAGTGTGAGCGACATGCTGTCCCGGCCAAAGCCCTGGAGCAAACTGACGCAGAAGGGGCGAGAGCCCTTCATCCGCATGCAGCTGTGGCTCTCTGACCAGCTCGGCCAGGCGGTGGGCCAGCAGCCCGGCCCCTCCCAGGGTGAGTGTGGCGGGAGCATCCGGGGGGCTGCTGGCAGCCTTGCCACCTGCACAGTGGCGTGTCTGCCTGGCTTTACTGCCCGAGTCTACCTGTCCCTCCATCTCCGCTACCCTGGATTTCATCCCGGCCACTGTCATGGCTGCCCTGGAAGACGGCAGAGGGCTCCTGGTGTTTCTCTGCTCCCTTCTCTTCCTTCCTCCATCCGGAGGGATGCTTCTAGAAGCTGTGCACCTGATGCACTTGGGTCCTG